CTAATAACATCTCTGGAGCCAGTAGTACGCTGGGGTCTGTCTGTCCTGCAAATGTGATTAAGGAGCTGTTGAAGTAGCATCAGAATTGATTTTAGAATAAATTTGTCAAATGAGTAGTAACAAATTTCTGTGACCTGGTAGTCCCAGGGTACTGCAGAACTCTGAAATATTCAAAGGAACACATCCCTGCTGCTAAGCATGGTATGAGACCCAACATCCTTATCTGCCATGGGTGGATAAGAGTGGTAAATCTGATGCTCATTTTTACAAAAGGCTCCAATGAGGACCCAAGGAACTATTGATGAGTAGATGTTCATTCCAGTTTGTAAATTTGTTGAATAGGTTTAGCAGAAATATGGAGGAATTCTATGTATGAGGGTTATCATGCCTGCCAATTGCTCAAAAGTCTTTGAAGTATTCACTGACAGTACAGATAAGAGCGGGCCAAAGAATACAGTGGCTATGGGTTTCCACCAACCTTTCAATGAGATTTCTCCTCAGAAATGTCTAGCTCCAACCTTGTAGGTGGGAAGAGGAAGAGCCTTCCAGGGACTAATGACTTGTTAAAGATAGGAATAAATGGCCATTTTTCACCTGTGAGTGAGGTAGTTTGTGGAGTGCCAAAGGAGCATGTGCGAGGAGAGGGCTCCTCAGCAGAAACATCAGGGAAAAGGGCTGATGATTCAAAATTACTAAAGCAGTTAGAAGTAAAACTTCCTGCAAACAGTTGCAGAATGCTCTCTACATGCTGAATGCCTGAAAGATGAAACATCAGATGAGATTTGACATCAATAAATGTAAATAACACACGGAGCAGGGAAAAGAAATGACCAGTCTATGCATCTGCACAGTTAAGAGCCCAGCATTAGCAATTACCACTCAAGGAAGAGAGGCTGGGGTCACTTCAGACTTGAGAAATGACAGCCCCATGTCTAGTGACTGCCAAAGTGACCGGTACAGTTTCTATAGCCTTCTCAGAAAAGCACTTCAGTGCTCTCAGAGTGGTGGCTCCAACACCACCTGGACAGGGAGTTGCCTGAAGAAAAGCGCCAGCTAAGCAAGATCATCTTGAGATGTTGTTTGTGCTGACATAGAGTTTCTCCTCAGACTCCCTAAGAAAATTCTGGTTTAACCAGGAGATGAGTTTTTAGATGAGATCGTATGCAGCAGTTTGAGCCCCTCAGTCAACACTTCAATCTTCCGGCTCTTCCCTTTCATTTTTGGTGGCATTCAGCAGAGTGCCAATGCTGATTGTTGGGATCTGGGCATTCAGGGGAAGGACTATCAGCAGCCAACAGGCTGTAGCTGACAAGAAAAAGGAATTAAAGAAAGCTGCAACAGTCTTATCCATTCCCTCATGGGCTTGTAATGCCAGGGAAGAGGGAGCAAAGCCATAACACTAGCAATCCTGCACAGGCACTGGCATTCAGGACAGGCTCTGACATCTCTTTTGAGCAAACCCTGGCACTGAGAAACTCAGACTGCGTGAAGGGGTGCTTGGGTGCCTCACACAGCTAAATATCTGGTGTAAATGTGCTCAGACAGAAGCAGGCTCACTCTTTCAGCCAGCGGAGAAGTACCTACATACCTTGGGATACATGGCCAGTACAACCTCCCATATGAAGTGCTGATCTGACATGTGCCTTCCAGGGGAAATGCTCAGGAATTGTCTGCAGGTTAATAAAAAGTCCTGAGAAAAGAGTAGGGAGGAATGAAGGCATCCCATTAAAATGGAGGTCAGGTCTGCCAGCTGAGACACCATGTACATCCCTAGAAAATTATCAACTGGGATGTGCCTGCTAAATCACACCACACTTTCTGCATTAATCTGGATGACAAGTCACTGAATAAGTAAGTAGAAAGCTTTACTCTGAAGTATAGATACCATCTCACTCACTTACCTCTGTACACACTCACAGTGACTCAAGCTCAAGGAACCTGTGATCGTTGCATGACTCCATCTCCCAAGCTTCTGTGCTTGGGAGGTTTGCAGGGTTCATCCTCCATTCTGACACAAAAGTAAAGAGTTTATCCACATCAAATGGGCTCCATCTGCCACTGTCTGGCCATCCTCCCCAATTGAGGCAGGCCATGAACCAGTTTCTTGATCATTCTGGTATTTTATTAACCTGTTTACTTTTTCAGCTGCACATTTTGCAGCCCCTACCCCATCTAAAAAAGTAATAAATATAGTGCTTGCCCTTTTTCCCTGTTGATCATTGCCCAACCTTTCTACTTCCTTTTCTTGTGTATTCCTGATTTTGACTCATCACAATACTTTGCTTCCTGCCTTGAAACAATTCTGAGTTTGTATGGGACCATGTGAAAAATTTTCTGAAAGTCAAAACCTGAATTTTTTAATTGGTTCTGGTTTATTCACTGCTTTAAAGGCACCTTCAGACTGCTCTGAAAAATTAGGAGACCACATCTCTTAATTATCCATCTCACCCACTAATAATTTTAGTAGTCCATGCTAGAAAAAAAAGTCCTTTGTCTTCATTTATCATTTAAGTGGGCAATGCATCTCCATGACAGAGGGAAGACTATGATACTCAAGGGCTTTAGGGGCCCAGAAGGCTCCTGCACTGTCTATATCCTTGAGGTGGGGTCTTTCGACAAGTCCTCTTCTGTGCACGAACCTCAGCAGAGACGAGATGCCAGTGGTGGAGGTAATGGGAGAAGCCCACCCAGCAGACTGCCTTGCAGCAGGGAGCAGGCCTGTCCTGCCAGCCCCCTCCAAGCATTTGGTATCAGGCCTGGAGCTCGTGTGCCCATCCATCACATCTGCAGATAGTCCTGAAGGGGTAGAGGGACAGATCCAGGGTGGGATCAGCACATGGGGCGCTGTATGGCCAAAGCCTGCTCAGGCAGGTCCAGCCAATGCACGATGGAGAAGACATTAGGAACCAGCAGGCTCCAAAGGGAGCAGGGATACCTGAGTGGTGCTTTGGCCAGCAGGGCCAGTAAATCATACAGAAGTTTGCAATGCAAAAAGTACAGAAAGTGCAGTTTGAGACTGGGAGTGTCAACGAGTCCTGTCTTGTCCTTGAGCTGCTCATGGTGTGGTTCTGCTAAATGGTGGCATTTGTTTCAGGAGAACACTACTTATGAGGAGAATTCCATTAGATAGGACATTCCAAACATAGTGGACTAAACATTAGGAAAAATTAGTAAGGAACAAGCCTCCTGGCCACCTTGTTGGACACTGCAGTAGGGCTCTGTTTACTGACTCAGGTCAATGCTTGGAGATTAATTTATTTCAATAACTTCTTCCCCATCAGTCATTAAGGAATATCGACTTAATCAGATGTAGCATGACCAGGAAATCACATGTCCGGTCCATGACAGGTAGAGGGCTCAGCTCAGGACAGCCTCATCACATGGACTACATGAGGGTGAGGGACCGCAGCACTTAGCTTTAAGTGGGGCACTACTGGAATGAGAGCTTCTGTGGTTACCGGGTTTCTAAGGTCTCTGGCAACATGGGCATACAAGTCTGGAAGCTGTGAAATTCCTATCACCAAGCCAAAATATTTAAGAGGGCTTCCCAGAAACCATAGGATTTAAAAACAAAACAAAACAAACAAACAAACAAACAAAACCAATAAAACCCCAAACCAGGTCTGAGGGAGTTTTCAGGTGGATATTTATGATGTAGTGGGAATTTAGGCAGCTTCCCAGATGAGACCCACGTGTCAGGGAAGCTGAGACCTGTCCTTGACTTAGCTTGACTTGTACCAGTTATGTTACAAGTTAGAAGGTGCCACCAGTTCATTTTCTTCCACTTACCTCAAGTGAACCGGATGTGGGCTTGGGGAGGGGAAGCCTTGAAGGATCTGTATTTCTTTACTTTGCATGTTGGCAAAAAGTTTTTCTTCTCTGAGAGAATGTTTGGTAGGTGGAGAAGCATCCTCCATTGCAGCTAGGTCCAGCACATGGCTCTGCCCAGCGTCTTTGGGATTACTGTGCTCACCTGTAGCACAGGAAACTTTAAGTCAAGAATTAACCCCATCCCATATATTTGGCATTATTCTGAGTGTCTGTGTGTAACAGAACAAGAGGACATGTTCTGAGTGCCTGCAGCACATGCTACCTGAGCCGCAGTGTATGTGAGCATCTCAAGTGGCTAATCCCACGGATGCAGCCACATACTGACAAAGGTGCGCACCGAGCAGCACAGCTTTGGGAACACCTACACTGCAGGAGAGAGAAGCACAGATGAAACATCTGAGCACACCCCTGCGCTCACTTTCAGCTTCCTCGTGCAGCCCCAGGATCTGTGCAGCCCAGGGCGCAGCCTGCTCTGTGCCTCAGCACCCAAACGAACCGGACGAGGGGCAGCAGCCGTGGCCAGAGTCACAGCCCCGTTTCCCGAGTAGCCAAGTCCTCTCTGGTCCTCTGGCTCCCTGATGGGATAGGCATCCAACCCAGCACTCGGGTGCAAGGACCTGCACCCAGCCGTCCCCTCGCCTGGGACACTTGCCCTGACCCCAGCCCGTCCTTCGTCTTAGGGGCGCGCAGAGCCCCACACCACACTGGCTGCCCCAGCGTGGGAGACAGAGGTCGTGGGGCCTGCCTCGCACCATGCTGCAAAGAGTTAAGCCCTCGCTCTGTTGATATTTCCGAGTGGCTCCCAAAGTCGGCCGAGACGGGGAGCGTCCTGATTGGCTGCGCACCGGCCGGTAGTAATTAGTATCAGATATCAAACTTCTGTCTTTGCTAAGACCCTTTCCGATAGTCGCTGCTCCCCGCTAGACGATGACATCAGCCAGGACACCCAGCTGCTGGTAGTAAACTCCGGGCAGGAGGAGGCTCCCGCTAGCTCCACGTTAATTAGTTCAACACAGCACAGGGGGAGCAGTTGGTGTCTGTGGAGGGTCAGTGCTGGATGGGACCAAAACTTTCAAAGCCACTTGCTGCTTCTTGCCAGCCGGCTGTAAAAGCACCTAGAGAGTCCAGGAGAGCTGGATGAATCCTGAGCACTAGCTGTGGTCTGGTCGGCTTTTCTCTGTGGAGGAAGTTAATGGTTTAAGTGAGGGGCGTCTGGATCTGGTCCCCGAGTCACCATGACACTCCTGGGGTCTGAGCACTCCTTGCTGATTCGGAGCAAGTTCAGATCAGGTAGGGGAAATGTTGAGATTTCTTTTAAAACTTCTCTCTCCGGCAAGCCGTAGCCACAGACTGTTTTGCATTAAATGTTTGGAAGCAGCATGCAAGCAAAATATTCAAGGGGTCGTAGAGCTGTCACGGCTTTACTCTTACAGAGGCTGTTCCGCAAGTGGAGAAACGCATCTTCCTTCCTCTCTGTTGCTTTTTTTTTTTTCCTGGTTTTTCATTGTCTTCGATTTATGTCTGTGGTTTATTTTGGTAAAACTGCAGTTCCTGGGTCTCCTGCCCTGGCCCTGCTGCAAAGGATTTGGGCAGGAAGCCAAAAGGGCATCTGGGATAAACAAGGTACCTAATGCCGTCCATATATTCTAGATGCTCTTGCGGGTCCGTCTGTGATAATCGCAGTGAGGATGGGCCTGACACTCTCTCTGACATGCAGGCAGCTGACTTTGTTCCATTAAGTCGTGACTAATTGGAGAAAAATGAATTTGAAGAAATGCGTCATTTTTAGAAGTAAAAATAACAAATGGAACATGAAAAGTATTTAAAGTGACATCATCAGAGAAATAAAACCAGAGCCACACAATTGATTGCCACTCTCAGAGGGTTTGCAAGTAAAACATGCCTCCGTCTCGTAAGTTAGGAGAAGCACCGATAAGGGGCTTCTCAGAGGACTTTCAGCGTGAGTGAAGGTGAGTGAAGGTGAACTATGGGACAGTCACTTCTAAATCAGACCCTCTGCTGGATATTCATGCCTTTATTCACTGGCTTTATTTATAGTAAGTATGCTGTGTTCGTGAGTGAGTATCTTTACTTGTAATTTTTTTTTTAATGACCATAATGTACTGTAATATTAATGGTAATGTCAAAAAATGTTCTCGAGGAGCTTTCTCTGACCTTCCCAGAGGTGAAGTTCTCCCTGGGAATATTATCTGGGAGGATGTTCAGACAAACCAGCTGCATGTGCTGTATGGGACACTGTAAAACCGGACGGGGTAGTCACGTTAGAACATGCACCCGGTCTGGCATGTCACCCATGCCGTGTGTGTTTTTGCCTCCTTGTGCATTGTAGATAATGAAATCAGAGATTTATGATACTGATGGTAGACATGAGTGGTGTTATCAGGATCTCTTAGATAGCTGGGTGGTCAACTTAAACTTTGTTTTCTCAGCAAATACAAAGTTGGCAGTTGGTTGAAAACCCAAGAGTGTGTGTGCAAACACAAGTGTCCTAGTCTGGCTGAATTATACAAAACTTGGGTCCAGGGCTTTGGTGTGGTTTCCATATCGCTCTGATCTTACATTTCATTAGATTAAGTCATTCCTTAGATTTTGTTGGTATATTATGGTACATTGCTGTTCATTTGAAAAAAATCTCAGTCTGTAACAATTCCTCCAGCAACTACAAAGCAACACTGCCACCTTTCTGACGAGAGGAGGACAGGCTGTGTTACATGCCCCTGCATTCTTTTCAAATGAACCAGTATTGTTTTTAAGGCTCATTGCTGGTTTATTTGTAAGCTGGCTTTATTATGGAACCAACAGTGGGATCTCTAAACATATTTTTCAAATGATTCTCCAGTAAAAGTAAACTTTGTGGGTCTTTTCATCCATAAATTCTCGTGCCTTTCAGCATTTCTAGAGCAGTCAATTTGTGGGGCATTCTTTGGTTCATGACTTATTCCCACAGCTGCCATCCTTCACTATTGCGTGGTGAGAGATAGGTTTCCCATTTGACAAGATTTCTCTGTCTATTCATTTTGTTTGAGTTGGGCTTGCCAAAATCCCAAATGAGTGTCTGCTCCTCGCTCTCCCCACTGCTGGGACTGCCACAGGTAATGTGGGACATGGCCATGGCACAACCCTGGTCATCACAATCTGTGAGATGGGAGGAAAGCAGGATGCTAAGGAATACAAATAAATCAATAATGCTGCTTTCAGTTTGTGCTGGATTGTTAGTAACATGGGGAATAGAGAAGAAAAGCTAACATTTAATGGTTGAAGTGGTTGAATGTCTTTTATGTGCAAAGTCTCTATGTGACAGAGTTTCCTCCAGTGTCCCTGCTCCGTGTGCAGACTTTGGTAGCTGTAAAGCCCCACAAACATGGCAGAACGTGCAGTGCTCTGATTTACTGTCCTCCATTCACTTGGAAGAGGAATGAATGTCTCAGACAACCCACCGCCCTGCACCACACCCCCTGCACGGCTCAGGGGCTGTAACACGCTACGGGACAGCAGCAGTTTACACAGAGAGCTATGTAGCTTGTATGGAGCATGCGAAGGACAAGCCAGGAGGGATCAGACCCTGAAATGCCAAGCCCCAAGGAGCCGTGCTTCACGATGCGCCGTTGCTTTGGAAATGGTCTTGTGCAGGCAGGTGTGAGGCTTTGCTTGCTCCCCAGGTTTGGGAAGGATTAGCTGTGCTCTGTGACTCATGACGAGTCTGAATCCCTTTTGAAGGATTCCAGGCCAGTGTTAACGAGGGCTGAAGTAATTCTTAATAACTAAACTTCTGCCATCTCTCCATGGCCTGCACACACTGAGCAGCTGAAAGAGCCATATGTGTGTTAAAGGGTGCTAGAGATATATTAATTGCTTGTTGTTTCCTCATCCCAGAATCCTTTTAATCCCTGTGGCACACAGCAGGCAGAAAGTGGAGCAAGGAGGTGGCAGCTAGAAGATGGTGGCACATAGGTGTCCCTCTTAGAGTGGCTCGAGGGTCAGCATTCCAGTCTCTTGCTTCCATCTGGCAGCATCAGTAGCAAGAAAAGGTTTGTCCAGGAAAGGCTGATTTGGTGGAGGCAGCGGCTCTTTCGCACTGTGCACAGCAATCGTTCCTTGAGTCCCACAGTGTTTTCTCCTGCTCTTCATTCTCCAGTGGTCCAAAGTGAATGGCCAGCATAGCCATGCAGTGTGGAGACATAGTAGCTACCCTGGTGGGGGGTACCAGGAACCGCTCCAGAGGAGATAAATCAAATCAGCAACATGCTGCAGGCCTTCAGGTTCCCCCTCCCCTTCCTCAAGGATTTGTGTGCATGTTTATTTTGTGTGTTTTGCCAAAGATAAATATACTGATCTGAGGTCATCCTGACAAATTTTGCAGGAATGATGATTCTTCAAGCCTGCCATGCTATTCCATGTTCTCCAATTATCAATAGGATTGTACTAAATCAACCAGGACATCTAAGGGCTGTTCCAGAAACATATTTAACTCTTCCCAGAGACCATCATTTATGTGAAGTGATCTACTGCTTTGAATACAAACCAATTGTACTCCAGCAGCAGAGAAGCATTGTCATTGGACAGGGCAAACAAAGCTGGCAAATGCAGACTTAACCTTAACTCTGACCTTTTCTGTCCAGCGATATGGAAAGAGAGTTTACAAGGCCAACATCTGCATAACATCAGTGGTAGTTCAGATAATTGTTGAGAAGTGAAAGTTTAACACTCTAAATATGGCTCTGCATGGCTTGGCATGCGGTAAGATCCAGGCCTAATTGTGGACACATGGGTGTGAATTTGCAGAGAAGACTTGCCTGGCTCTACGGAGGAAAGGATTCATGCTTACACATAGGGCTTGAATGAAGCTCGTTGAGATGGGAGAGGAATTTATTCTGTTTGCCTCTGGTGGAGAGAGTGATTTGGACCAAGATCAGCAGGTTAATAAAGGCAGAAGAGAGTAGGTCTTGGTAGGGTGTTAGGCAAGGCATTTTGGCAGAACCTTTATTTTCCTTTTCCCAGTGTCCAAAGATAAAGCATGTGCATGTGTTTCCTCTCAGATCATGAAGTCACACAGCTCACAATCAGTGTGTGCATTCAAACCTCAGCCTCTCTGTAACTGATGACACTGTTTTGTGATTTCGTGAAGTTTTTGTAAAACACTGACTTGTTGTAGACTGGTTTGTACTTTGTTTTGTTTTTCCAGCATCTTATACCTTGGTGCTTTAGCTGACAGACATATGTTTCTCTGTCAGTCAGGCATGTGTTATAGCACAGACTGAAAGGTATCTCACTGCACTTGAGGAAAAGGATGTACGGGCTGCTCATGGGGATGCTGAAGGGATGACTTCAAGGAGGGCTAGTGGCAGCCTGTTCTCAGGACCATGGCAAGGTTGGGGTTGCACATTATGATGGACACAGACTTCAGAGGGATTTCACAGCTGGTTGTTCTGTAGTGGTGACCTGCACCCATTTGGTGGTCTGGGCTCCTTGCTAGCTAGGTGTGGGTCTATGTCTCTTCCAAGGCACCTGCAGGTCCAGACGTGGGTTTAGAGATGTTGTTCTCACCAATGTAGATGGTATTTTCAGCACAGTGCAGCCTCCCAGGTAACACAAAAATTCGTAGCACATCTGCCTGGGAAAAGGTAAAATGCTCCTACCTCTGAAGTGCTGAGCATCACAGGCAGAGGTAAAGCTGGTGTGGCTTGGCCCCATGCCGAGGCAGCACCTGGCCAGGAGAGGACTGACCAGGGCTTTCCATGGCTGTCCTGGCTGAGCGGCGCCATTTTCAGCTGGGCTGTGGCTGGCTGAGCTTCATCTCTGCTCACACAGGCCCCACACAGGCCGTGCTGTCAGAGGATAACATGGGCCTAGAGACCTGATGCTACAGAGAAATCACTTTGTGGCACCTGGCTATTGGCAGAGCAGATGGGCCGACAGCCATGGAGGGTTTTTGCAAAACAGCAGCTCCAGAAGAGCAGGCCCTACGATGCTCTGCTGGACCAGTGCTTCACCCTGCCAGTGGTGGCACCCAGGAGGTTGGCTGCTTGTCACCCAGCTCAGGGTGGCTCCACATTCACCCAAGTACAGCCCCCACATCAGGAGCCTGATGTCAGCCTGTTGCTCAGCTGGGACAGAGCACCACTGCTCCCGGCTGCCCTGCCCACTTGGACACCCTGCTTTGAATACAGGTTCCTGCTCCTGACACAGCTGCGAGAGCCACAGCCCCAAGAAGGCCACAAGCAACACAACTGCACCCTGCCACCGAGCCAGCCCTTCTCCTGCCCTTCTGG